AAATATAAGGCTTACCTATAACCCACGTGCATGGCTAGCTGCGCCCCTAAGTCAATACCGCCCAACACGATCCGATTCCTCTTCGTTCCACTCGTCACCAAATCATTTACTAGCTGTCTAACTAAACTACAGCTTCTTTCAAGAGAGTCTTTCATCTCTGGACCAGTTGGATTAAGATCCTTTCTGTCAAACCAAACATTTTTGAGCTGGCCTTTATCGATCGTATACGGAATTTGGGGCGCTTGTGGATAAATRACTTGTACATGTTCAAAATCCCAGTTTTTATARTAGAAACTCTTTATGCGGTCTTTGAGGGTCTTCGCACACCCTTCTTCTCCATGTAAGAAGATCACAGCACCAGTTTTGCAGAATCTTTCTCTYGTTATGAAAGTTTGGAGCTTTGGAAGCGCCATCTTGGAATTTTGAGTCATGCAGTTTTCGACAGGCGTTACAACTTTTACCGAGTGGAAGCTGGTTATGAATAAGTCTGGAGCATTGGAACATTGCATGTAATATTTCTTGTTTCATCAACCTTTTTGTAGTAGATGTAGAGTCCACAGATATTTTCATGAGTCACCCAGTTCCGATAAAATTGATACATTTGTCCAAACATTTGTTTTAGAAAAAATCCCTTAATCGAAAAAATAATCCATGGGATCCCTTTGGTGTTTTCGAGGGGCCTGGGAATAAATCAAAACAAAATGGCGCACGTGTGGTCCTGATAGTTTTTGCAAACTTCGCAAAAGCTGAGCAAAATAAATCATTTTGAAGATGTTGACACCAGCCTTTGAGCTTTCTCAAGATGACAATGCTGTAACAGTAGTCATCAAAACTCCATATGTCAAAGTAAGTTGCATGCAGACATATTTTTGGAAGGGCACAGATGCGTAGAAAGAAATGCAGGTGTTGCACTTAATGTCAGTCTGATTTATGCMTTAAWGGAAAGGACTAAGGCATAATTTCTAACAAAGCTCTCACCTATTGTTATTTAGATCTCTGAGGTCGATTTTTATATTGATGGACATGAGTTCAAGTTTCATGTCA